TACGATTTCAGGAAGAGTGTGTTGAGTTTAGTATTCATAGGGGGGTGGCTACTTGTCAATCTTGCTGTAGGTTGGTTTTTATTTCCTAGTATGATCAACACTGCTCGGCAGATGATGATAACTCATCGATTGTCGACACCACGAAATTAGAGAGAGACGGTTGGTATCAGTTCGTGGTCTTGGGTAGTATCTGTTGAGCTTCGTGATTCGATCTCACGGAACTTGTGTGTTGGTAGTTCCTCCGATCGAAAACAGTTATCTGTTAAAACGATGTGATTGTCTTAATTTCATGTGGACATTTAGCTTGAGTGGTTTGGTGATGACCTTGGCGTGTTGTGTGAAGTGCAGTCATGATGGTATGGTCGCCGACCTCGGGTACACTAATTTTCAGCCGACCTTGTGAAATGACCTCGGCTGGAGAAGGTCGGGACTCGCTCGACAAGGGAGGTGACGGTAGTGGCAAGCGGAAACCGCCGGCGTCTTCGCCACAGAAGCGGAGTGTAGACGATCGGGATGACGAACTACACCTACTGCAAGGAAGGACTAATGGTCACTCACGAGACGATGATGAGGATCAACGAGACGTTCTGGTGAGCAGCCAGGAGGTGCCGCAGTTGGGCCGGGGGATGAATGATGGAATGGTCGACCTGGGCGAGCTGGGAGAACCCCCTGTCAAGTACTAGGGTTACACCACTGTGTCACCACTGGACAAAATTGGAATCTTTTCAGGGTCCCTAGAGTAGTTGATGTGATACCACGCGAGTCGGCATCTAAGCCTGGGGGGGTCACTGAGGAGGACGAGGATGCTGTCAGCTTCTCATCGGAGTGTAGTGTTGAAGAGGATGACGATGATGACTCGAGAGGCGGCAAGAGCGTCGTTGAGCCAGAGGTCCCCCCGGCTAGGGCGGAGGAATTGGAAATGTGGGTCGACATGTGTGAGGCAAGCAACAGGATACCGAAGGCGTCCCTGAGGTCTATGGAAGTGAAGAGTGCAGGGTAGTAAAATAGGAAAAGGAGGAGAGCCGCAAAGTTTACAAGTTGTTGATACTATTTCCGTTAGTATTAGGAAGGCTCTTAGCTGATCACAGTACATCACTTTTAGTTTGAGTATGGTGACACAGAAGGGCACGTCGTAGCTCATCCGTCCGACACTGTTGGTGTATTTCTGCCTAGCGTTTTTCGCATCAACAGAAAATTCAAAATCAGGATTGTTTCAAGGGAAAATCTCGTCCGTAGTGAATTTGCACGTAAACTGGTTGGAGTCAGTGATAGTGGGCAGCACCATGAACAGATGGAAATTATTGTCTACAGGCCCTTCAGCTTTCGCCTCCTAGTCTACCCTTGTGGTACTCAAGACGCCCGCCACGGGTCGGACTACGCTCCGTCGGCATTCGTCGAGATTGTCCCTCCTGAGAAGCGCGGTCTTAATTCGGAACCAGGGAGGTAGTACGATTATACCACGACTACTCTCTCACTCATCCTCAGGTACTTCCCGGATCGCTGGTGTCTGCGTTGTGTGAACTTCTGCATCAGCATCATCAACTTCAAGTAAGGCCATCTAGAACTGCTTTCCATGAGGGGATGCTGATCGTATAGGAATCCCGAGACGAGCGTTTTTCGCGAAGATCGAAAGCCGTTCAGCTTCACCAACACCGACTCGTAAGTCGCCTCTCCAGTGTACTCCACTCCGAAGCCACTGAATGTCCCCTCAGTGGTTGGCGAAAATTAGTATCTTATGACTGTCGCACGTCTACGGGTGTTAACAAGTTGATGGAGGACGGTTGGTAATATAGGCTTGAGCGGTGTACTCTCGTGAGGGCATCTGTTCTTCATCTCCTCAGGGCTGATAGGCATGGCCGCATACTCCTCCGTTGCGCTGCGCAAGCCCTGCGCTTGGGCGTGGAATCACAGGTGCACCGTGCTGTGGGCAGTCTCGATGGTGACTGTGGTTTGTGTAGGGCAATAGACCTGATTATGATGGTCCCGTCGTACCCTACCTTGGCCTCGAGAATCTCGGTGCCACATGTTATCTTAATGGTCTTCTACAAAGCCTGTTTCTCATACCACAATTCCGTCGAATCGTGTAAGAACGACGCCACTCCCAGCTTCAAGGCTCTATGACTG